ATTGGCTGATTATTGGTTGATACTTGTCGTAACAGTGTATCCAGATGAAGCGGCTGGTGAGTGTAAAGGAGAATGCTTAAATACTACACATTTTAATGATGAAGGCTGCATAGAGTGAAAAGCATTGTTTTTTGTTTTCTTTTTTAAGGAAGACTGAGTGCATGTCTGCAACTTAATCCCACAGACCTTTATCAGATCTGGGAGGGGACTGTGAAAGTTGTGTAGGTTGTTCCGTATTTCTAAGCTGCAGTGAAAGCGATTGTGAACAATGCCACAGCTCCCCTCCTGCTTACCACATGGCTAACACCACATCGTTTGTGGAGGGACCCTTTAACCAGGACACGCAGGCTGGGGAAAATAGCAACATTCCCAACATTCTGTGGGTCTGACAGTCCGAGGCTGCTGCTATTCTCTGTCACAAAACAATGTTGTGTAGGCATCTAATAACAATGCCCTCCACACTAGAGCTGCGCCTCTGTCTGCAAGTAGGAGCTAGAAGTGTGTGAGTTAGCAGGATCACACTATAAACAGCCAACTTTTCAGTTAAATCTGAACAGGCTGAAGTAATCAGTTATGATGTTCATATTACAGTTAGGAAGCAGTTGCACTGTATTGCACAACAGTGCGTGGATTAATAATACCTGAGAGACCAAAATATAGAGGCAAACATAAGATCTCCAGTGGGAAGAGGAGGGGGTCTTGAATCATGTGCACTGCATCTGGAAATGATATGATAATGAAGTGAAAAAAGCATGGATGTCATGGCTGCTGTTTCCATCTCTGAGGATTGAACTTTCTCTGAGCTTTTTAACTCAAAAAGCACAAACCATCACTCATCAGTTACTGAGTTTGTCACTTGTTTGTCACTCTTAAAGAGCAGGAAACTCGTCATGCACGCAGGGATTATTATTCATATGTGTTGTTGTCATCAAGCTGATTACAAAAGGGTAATTGGACATGTTTACAAGCCCACATGATTATGTCCAAAGAAACATACAAACCGCGTACAACCCAACTGCACACCAACTAAAAGCCCTCAAGGAACTGTGCAGCAACATGTTGCACTTGATACCAACTCCCCCAGGCCTGCAGGTGCATTAAGAAAAGCATATAGAAGATATTTTCCAATAATGTCAAACGACTTTTTTTTTGCCATATACTGTAAAGTTACACATACACATTATCTGGTATGGATTATCTGCTTGGAATAAAAGCAAAGTGTGAAGTGTGAAGTGTGTCAGGTTACAAGTTTCACACTTTTGTCCTTATTTTGCTAAGTGCACCAGGAAAAGCTCTTAAGTGTACCAGCATGTGTCTGGAAATGGAGTAATGCTGACATAGCACAGATTTCGTAATGTGCTACATTAGTCTTAATGTTGTTTTTCTCCTTTAAAGGTTCAGCCAGACCAGAAGTATGAGGGTCGGCTTCGGTCTTACACACAGTATCAGAGACCACCTATGAAGACGGAGAATTTGGCTTGCGGTTTGAAATGTTTTATCTGGCACTCATTCATATTTCACACACAAACCTTAGCCCACCGCTGTTTCTTTCTTAATGTGGATGAAAACTGGGCTATATAATGTAAAGGCAGGAGCAAGACCAAACAGGTTACAGTTCTCACGCAGGTATCTCACGCTGGGATCAGAAAAAAGGGGAAGAAGTGGCGTCAAATCCTGAATTCCTAGAGCAACCAAGCCACAAGAAAGAGAGAGCAAAAGTGTCTGACTGCAGGCAGGAAAACCCTCCACATGATAGTAAAAGAATAAGAATGAATACATTAAATAGGGCAAAGGAAGTGAAAAGGCAGGAGCACAGCAAAAAGATAGCAGTTGTACAAAAGAAAAAAACAAATCTAAAGATTGCAATTTATCAAGAACATGTTGACCATGTTCTTGATAATGGCAGAATAACAGGGCTACGGTTCCTTTCACATGGTGGAAGGTCTGGCCTTGACACGTTTGAAATCTCCCACTATAATAAATTCAGAACAGACCAGGAAGCTTCAGGAAGGAACCTTCATGTTCATCGCATCACTTCAGCTCTGGGGAAACATGTGCACCAGGGCAGATGCTTTGAATTCAACCCACCCTTCCTCCATTGCCAAACCTGTTCTTTTTGCTTCTCATCTCCAGAAATGAAAAAATAAAAAAATAAAAAAAATAGACTAACAATAAAAATCCCAGCATCAGCTAAATATCAAACATAGGCCTGGAAGCAGTGCAGAGGAGCTGGACTCAGGCAGGATGTTCCATTCAGAGTTTGTGGTTGTGGCTGTGGGAGATGCTGAATAGAGCCAGCAGCACATCAGACCGGTAAGTGGAGGCAGATGAGGGTGCTGTACCCTCCCTCCTCCAGACCTCCCACTTTCACTCCCCCAACCACAAGCAGTTAAACCCCAAAACATCCCATTAACACTGCTTGTACTGATAGTATTGCTTCCATATTTAGCCTAGTTCTTAAAGAGGAGTTATAACAATGGTATGTTTTGTAGTTATGACAGAATTTTATGGCTCGATTTTTTAAAAACGAGACCAAAAGAAATGTTTGATTCATCGTACATTTATCCATCAGTTTCATCAATTGACCTGCTGTGTATTTTTAGAATAAAAAAAATCAACATCTGACCTGCTTTAATACTTTGAAACACCCAGACACTTTCATAAATCATCGTAAACACCACAGAAGACTTTTACTGGATTCCTGTAACCCACTGCTCATCCCACTCCAACATCAATCACTGTTAATGCCAGTGGGCCATCCAGTGGACATAAGCATGAACTGCAACCTTTCTGACAACATTGAGCATATACTGTAAGTCCAGTTGAAACGCCTCAAGACAGAAATATATATTTGAAGCACAGTATGGAAATTCTATGTTATGCAGATCATGAAAAAGGAAAAAACTGGTATAATGATTTGTTTTTACCTGTATAATAAAGAGCAAAATATGGAAAACAGAGATTTCCTGCAGCATTTTTAAGTGAGTTTTAGTGTCTCGCTCAATATCTTTTCAGCCATGCAAGATCTTGCTGGAAAAAAAAACAACTAAAAACCTTATCCAGATGAGGCCCAGACTTTATGTAACATTTAGCCTGATTTGTTTCTCAGAAGTGCTTCATACTGTAGAGAAATCCAACAATCGGTCAATGCCCCACCTTTTCTTTTTCAGCTATTAATAAAGCTTTGGTGGGGAATGGCATATGTGAGGTATTTGTTCTCTACTAAAACAAATACAACTAAGTGTGCTTCAGCAGTCATCATGAATTTGGTTTTGTTGACTTGCACATTTGACCGCTACATCCCCGCTTTCCCCTTATCTGTGTGAAGTCACGCAGACTGAATAACTCAGATTTCGGGTAGCTGGGGAAAAAAACAATCGCACCAATCTGGCTGACTGCATGACCTCTCGGACTTGCTGCTCTCGTCTTTCTTCGTGTGTGCTGCTGCGCTGACCTTCTACCACAGCTAAAATCCTCTTTTATGTAACCCACAGAAATGGCTCTCTGTTGTCCATTCTCCTGTCAAAACCCCAAAGTTGTTTGCACCAGCAGGGCTTCCAGCTGCTGTATTGACCCTGTCTGCTCCCTCAGACTGCTACTGTTGCTCCGCTGTACCATATCCTCACTGCCAAAACACAGCTCCTTGACGACATGAAGCTCTGCGACATATTGCTGTTGCATGCTGCTGTTGTCCCTTAAAAGTCCCTTCAATAATACTGCTATGTCTTTTACATTATTAAAACACAGTAAAGATTGTAATGCTTTATGTGAGCAACTCCACACACAACAGATTAAGTTTTAATCCTGTGCTGGGGGAACAAGGTTCACATGTTTCCCTTTTTTTTCCTTTCTAAAGGGAACCTTTTATGGTTTTCTTCATCTTCTGCCAAATATAAATTCACAGTGGTGGATGCTGATATTTAATATGTCCAAGGTTTTGAGCTAATTCCTCGGGTTTCGGCCTGTTTGGTTTGTTTGTTTGTTTTTTGTCTAATCCTGTCATCATATTGTTTACGAGAAAAAAAATCATTCAACATCATTAGGTATTGTTTTTGTGTTGGCTGCAGTTTCTTCAATTCTAACATTTATTTTTTGTTTTTCTGTCCAAACTACAAGCCCAGACACCTCTGAGTGCGTTGACCTTCCATGTCTTCAAATCCGCTACCTCCACAGACTTTTTGTTGTTGCTCACATCTTTTTTTAAAGCCCTGAGGCCTGTACACAGCAATACCAAAGGAACTTCAACACCATACCTACCAGCACTGATGCAGCTATGACCCCAACTCCCTGCCTTCCCCGGGCTGTCTTTAAATGAAGCGACCTT